ATTTCACTGCTCAGGTATGTGACAAGACAATCGTAATCGTGCCGCGCTGTGCGTGACGAGCGACATCGCGCCGCGAGAGACGAGTTCTAGGTGACTGTTTGAAATGACTGTTAAAGGAATGGAGAAATTCGATATCACTCAGCATAAAGTCTTGCCTCCGAATAATTTATATGAGTTCGCTGCTCCCAGTCGAGAAATGATGGTCATCGAGAATTTGGCGCTCCTCGCGCCGCGCGGAACGACGCGGGAAATCACGAGTGTCTTGTCCGCTCCCGCAGTGGTCTTCGTTGGTGTTTGTGAATTTCTCGTTTACCCTCACCGTCGCGTGTTTTTTACTTGGCTGTTTTACTTCTTCATCCCTCCTTTTCCAGTTAAAATATCTCCGTAGCGGCTAAAACGTCGTGCAAAATGAGTCAGTAGCCGAGGAAGGGACACCAATATGGCGGAGAAGACGCAGTGCTGTGGCCGGAAATGGTGCGTCAGCGATCCGTGTGGGATCGTGTGCGCCGTAATAACATGGTAAGTGTATTTTTTGGAGTTTGAGTTTTCTGGAGTTGGTTATTCGTTTTAATTATTTGTTCAAAATAAGATAATTGGAATATTTTTGCAGGCTGCTGATCGTTTATAGCCAATCCGTGGTGTTCCTAGTGCTGATTCATTCTTTTGAAGAACACTGGCTTCATACTGGTGTTAATTTTGTGCTTTTCGAATTTTTGACGGCTTTGGCACTCATTAGCCATGTGAAGGTAAATTATTTCAATGGTCATTGCCCCCGTGTTATGGCTACTGATTTATTGATTTTTGATTTTCGATTTCAGACAATGCTGACTGATCCTGGCTCCGTGCCAAAAGGTAATGCTACTGAAGAACATATAGAGCGGTTACAAGCGGCAGAAGAGTTCAAGGTGGGACTGCAGTTAACTTTTTTCCACTTTCTTATATTTTCGTCGGTTTTGGGTCTCTTCCAATGAAAGGAGGCATCTTACAGTGGGGGAAGGTACTTAAGGTCCTGGAGTACTTATTCAGAACATTTATCGTAACTTGTAGGAGACCACAAAAGTGAGGTTCATCTTCCTTTCGTGCTTCTGGAAATGCCAAAGAAAGGGTGAGCAATAGTTCCGGATCCCCTGGGTAGCAAAACTTGCAAACCTGTAATTTTTATTTTTTTGGAAAAGTTCCAGAAAAGCCTTTCAGCTGACAAACCTTCGGATAGTGCAGGGCTGTTGCAACCACGGCCTATCCCTCTTCGGGAGAAAATATTCGGAAAATGCGCCCTTCCAAACGTCCTCTGATACCATATCTCAGAGCAGCGATCAAATACGCCCCTCCCTCTCAAGGGATTCCCCAACGTATGATGTGCGGGCACTATTCACCCGTCATTGCCCCCAATCCCAAAACAAGCCTGTTTTTGACAAACTTTTTTCGCTCACTCACCTCGGAATCCCCTCCCCTTGAAAAATCCCGTTTCCTGGCTCGCCGACGTTTTTTTTGTACGTTTCGATGGTTTGGGCAGTCCCTCGCTTGTCTATGCAATAGGCAGTTTGACAAGGGTTTCGTAACAGGACCGTGCACAAAAGTTCAAGATGTCAGGTAACCCTCTTGAACATGAATATCGCATCCGCTCGGCACGAAACCTCCTGGCGCTCGGGCTATAGGCACTGGCGCCAAAATACCCCGAATCACTGGTGCCTGTGGAGCGGGTGCAGCAATTTTTGGGATAGCGCATGTGACCATTTCGTATTAGGATTGTCAAACTACTCCAGGGGCGACCACATTTGATGCAAATCTGTGCCCACGGGAGCGCAAACCGGCAGGCCTCAGAGACTGCTCTCAATTCTGAATAGCTTGGGGCAGTAAAGGGTGATTAGTGCCGACGTGCCTACTTGCAGCATCCTCTTCTATTATAAATTATTTAAAACAACCCCATCTAGTTTTTAAAGGATAACATATCGCTTGTATCACAAAAGAAACATGATCTAACCACCTTATGAGGATTCCTCCGACCACCTATCCGGGCGCAGCCGTTTGCCACCAAAAAATGCCCCTCCAATACCGTCTCGGTTTCCATCAATTTTGATTCCGACGGATATATAGCATTTTTCTTAAAGATCGTCTTCTCCTTGAAGCTCTTATTTGGTCAGCGTTTTTCTGAGGAAGGGACGATACGAAACAAATCTCTGTTTTGGAGATTTTTCTATTGCATCTGTTTTCCTACTTATTGAATTAGCTGGCTGAGTGTGCGCATCATGTCGGCACAGCGAGCCATTAGACTGTATAAGTCATGTTCTTATGAATAGGAGTGAGAAGCTCTTCTTTTCTTCCAAAAATTTTTTGACAGCGTTTTGGGCCTAAGCCCTTTCTCCAGGTCATCTGAATTATACAAACAGCCAAGATCTTCACACACGGCACAATAATTTGGCAGAGCAACAGTTATCCCATAGCAGAGAAAACCTATAGCGAGTTCGTCCGGAAAGGGAGAGAGAGACGGAGGTGGGGGGGTGCCCCCTTTTGGCGGCCAAATACGACCCCCCCCATTGGGAATCCCCATCGAACGCTGTGCCCTGGTTTCATAGTGTCGCGATGATGTTAAAAGGCGTCGTAAAGTGGGGGCTGGTGGAAAGATCAGCGCTTATTGGAGCCGTGATCCCTTTCACTTATCATTAAACATTTAATCGCAAAGGCCGAGAAGAGATACAATGCGCAGCACGATGGGAGTGCCACAGGTGATCGGCATGGTTTCTCCAGAACCGGAGTTGGCCCGCGTTCCTGCATCGTTCCGCCCCGTAAGATATTCTCAACTTCTATCTCCACTTCTTCGTGATTCGTGGAGGTCAGCTCACGTGATGTAGATATCATATGACGAATCACGTTCACTTTCATGTGGAGGAGATGGCAACTTCTCGCATGAAATAGAATGTTCTGTGATGCCAATTTCCTGTACCACATGGTGTTGATCTGACCTTCCGTCCTGATCTTGGCGTTCAGAAATTGGAGAAAGCAATCAGCGGGAGGGCGTTCGGCTGTTAGTTTAATCGACTGACACATCCGTTGAGTCTTCTAAATGTCTGTCGTAAGGCTGCTCGCGATCTTCCGAATCATGTATAGGTCACGGAAGAGGAGGTCCAGGGTATGAAACACTTTTGGTCGGCATGGTGCCGCTTTCCTGTTGGCTTTCCCTCGCTCGCGCTATGCGCGGCAAAAGGTGATTCTGTGCTCATCATGTGCAATAACGTCACGGCGTCGAGAGTGGTGTTGTATTTCCATCTAAAAAATAGGTGATCAGATTTTTTCAGGTGATTTATAAATGCCAGAAATGCTGCAGTATCAAGCCGGATCGTGCGCATCATTGCTCGGTTTGCGATCGTTGCATTCGTCGCATGGACCATCATTGTCCGTGGGTGAACAACTGTGTGGGCGAAGCGAATCAGAAGTATTTCGTGCTGTTCACGGTCAGCTTTTGAATTTGAGATTTGAATTCAAGATAGCTTATATCTCGCGATCATCAGCTTGTTTTTTTTTGGCTCTCTCTTTTTTTAACTCACTTCTCAGAGCCTCCGATAATAAATTTGTCTGTTACCTTGAAGGAAGCAGTGCTCGCTGGTCGCTATGGATAGTTTTTTTATATTTTTTTATTTTTTTTTTTTTCATGGGGCGTGCCGGGAAGGGGGGAGGGGCTGCGTTTGGCGCAGCGCCAGCCCGTTTTTCACGAAATATGGTTCGCTCGCCAGCTTCAACAACTGGTGACGAGTGATACGGCGGCGCACCAAACCCGGCCTCCCTGGCACGCCGCAGCGTCTTCAGTGAAAACGATCCATACTTTATGATTGCTGCTGGACATTATCTAAGGATAAACTGGGTCAGCCCCCAAGTACATCCTAAAAAAACCCAAGCTGTACTTCGAACTGCTGGATTCTAGTACAAGTAAACGATATTTTCCGAAGCTTAGAAGTATCCATCCCGAAAAAAACCCTCAAAATGAGCAGCCTATAGGTGCAGTACAGAAGCTGGGAGGTGCTTCGCTTCGTAGTGGTGCTTCAGGTCACGTTCATACTTTGCGAATCGAGGGATTTGACGAATTGAGAGGTTAAGATTGCGCGACGAAGAAAGTATAGGTTGATCAGGCGATTGGGGAGGATCGGCGATCCGGCGAGTGAGGACTCGGCGCTTCAGCAGTTGCGCGCCAGAGGAGTGGATTCTTATCGATAAGCGTAGGATCCCGATTTACGCAGATCAGCGAATCTCCTCAGTCGCTAAGTATGAACGCGGCCTTATTATTAGGAGTTCCTGCTGATGGACCAGGCAGCCATCAGAGTTCTACCATCCAAAGAAGACTGTTCAGAAGACGGGATGAGCTTGCTAGTCCTTCTAAACGGCTACACATGCGGCTGAGCCAAGTCCCAGATCGCCCCATTCGTCGACTTTTCAGCCATCCGTAGATGGCGATCGCAGGGGCAGAAACTAAGGGGTTTTCCGCTGGAGCTCACGTGAGGCGACGAATAAACTCCCTAATTATGGAAATTCCGTGTTTTTCAGCAACCAAGATGTTATGACGTTCTAATACTCGTGAGAAATGATTGTTCTACCCGTCAAAATCTTCTTTTTCAAATCATGTTAGTGGGATGCGGTGTCGGAAATGTTTTCATCGAAGCTGTTCATTTCATTTAAGGGCATCGTTGCGCATGAGAAACGCGTGCCCCATTTCAGCGAATAATTCATTTTTCCTTCGAAATGAATGTGTTTTTACTTGGCTTAATAGGATTTCATTCCAGATGTACATAGCATTGCTGTCGTTTCATGCGCTCTACTGGGGAATATGGCAGTTTGTACTTTGTGTTGGAAAAGAATGGCATAGCTGCAGTAATCTCGGCCCCCCGGGAACAACATTGATGCTAGTAAGTGGTCTTCTTGTTCTAGTATTGGTAAAGGTAGAAAAAAAATCGGTAAAAGCTTGTATTTTCATTGAACAAAAGGTTTTCTTTCAGATTTTCCTAATGTTCGAAGCAATTTTATTCGCGATATTCACATCAGTCATGTTTGGCACACAACTATCGGCGATATGCAGTGACGAGACAGCTATTGAGACACTGAAACGGTATGTAATGATATTTTGACTAAGCTGATTGTACCGGTGACCGTCGCGGTGTCCCCTAAAGTCATCGCAAGAACGCCGAGATGTGGACCAGATTTTTCACCACAAGCAGGGCACGAACTTCATCCTCACGATTCCCGGGTAAGGGCGTTATCCTTTACGCCACCAAGTCGCCTCGTACCCGATCAGCTTTACGGATTTTGTGGTCTATGACAGAAGTTCTGAACCCACTCGGGTTCATAGTCCGTCTGGGGTCAAGACCACTGCCCGTAAATTGGCATTCCTTCAAAACGTTCCGCCGAGCGCAAGGTGCGGACGCTGAGCAGCATTTACCGCTGTAGAATAACATCAGCACTAAGATAATTTTTAAGTCGATTGCGACGTTTTTCAAAGTTTACCATTTCAACAAGAAATTCTTCGAAGCAATGTTGTCCGTGTGTCAACTTCTCTTGAGATTCGCTGGAATGTTGCGTTGAGTTTCTTTTTCTAACTTGACAATTCGGCGAGCTGGAGAAGTTGTCTATCCAGAGCTTAGTGAAAACATTTCCGAGTGCAAAGTTTTTTGGATGATGTGGGATTTTCAGTCTTCATTCTCTTGTCAGCTAAAAAAAGAAGCGATATGAGGACATTTTTGTCGAATTCCATCTGCATAGGACCTATTTACTGCCGCTTTCGTCGCTTCAGAGCTTTTGAAGCTCGCGAATTGAGCTTCGGCTAATTTATTGTCGTCGCGTTAGCACTAAAGTAGCGAAAGCTGT